TTATGCCAAGCCAACATCAAACGAAGTCTAGACCGTCTCATTTCACAGCAGTTTTATGCAGCCTACCTGCACTGGGAAGGATGTGGAACACGAACTCATGAGGATGCAGCCCATGAATTGAGACACAGCCGTTAGTTCTGGAGCTAACATGAAAGCTAACAAGCTAACGCTGAGGTTAGCCTGTTAGCTTTGATGTTAGCTCCAGAGCTAATATGTATAGCGTTACATCCTGTTGGTTCCTGAGCTAATTAACTAAACATCATCTTTGATCATTTCAACACATATTGTGTAGAACAACATAGAAACGAAAACAAAATAAAACTTTGTCTCACATTTTAGCATTTTATCCTCAACTGCAACTTATTTTACATCTTATGATTTTACATCTTAATGATTTTACATTTTAAGATTTTACATCTACTATTTTACATCTACTATTTACGTCTTATGATTTTACATCTTAAGATTTTACATTGTATGATTTTACATCTACTATGTTACATTTTATGTGAAAAAAGTAATAAGCATGAAACACATTTTTGAATAATCAGGAGTTTTCAGGTTTCACAAACCGCAGCTTTTAATAGAATAAAGAAGTAGCAACATATTAATGCCAACATGTGACAGTAGTCAGAGATCACTAAGCTCTGTTATGGATGCATGTGTTGGTGTTTACAAAAAACAAATTTATGGTTTTCTAAAATCAGGTGTTTGATGCTACTTGATGCTCGTCAACAGTCAGCTGTCAACATCTGGAGTCTGACGTTTCAGCTGAAGGAGCAGAGATAATGCACCACGTGTGTCTTGGTTGAGTGGTTTATAAAATAGTTCCAGGGGTGTTGATATAAAAACGTCAAACWTGTGTGATAGTACCTGGTGGGTGTGCAGATTCATACCTAACTAAAAGCCGGCTCAGTCCAGCTCACGCAGATTAATGACATTTTTCCCACTGAGCAAATTGTGCTCAGCCTGTAAAAATCGACACCTCTGAATCAGTCACAAATGTTTTTTCAAACCTTGATTACTGTACTACTATTTCTTCTTCACACTCATATTATTGTCCATAAAAACTTTGTTGCTCCATACGGTGGGCCGTTTGAGCCACAATTCATTTTGCAACACTTCCTCCTAGATTTTACCTGTGAAAGTTAAATGTAATATTGTTATGTATAATGATGTATGTTAAACATATTTAACCTAACATTTATGTGTTTTTTTCCCGCAACATAAACTTAAACATACAAATATTTTACCTCTCACTTACATGTTACCTTGCACAGATATACAAATTATGGCTTGAATGGCTCGTAACAGTTATCTCACATGTTATCAGCCTTTCTTGAATGATTTTAATTCAATTCAGTTTATTTATATAGCACCAAGTCATATTAAACTTTGTCTCAGGGCACTGTGCACACAAAAAAACAATCTAAAGAAGAAGCCAGCAGATTGTGTTGAATCTTCACTTCATCCCAAGCCGTGTTTCCATCCATCCATCCATCCATCCATCCATCCATCCAT